TTTACTTAGGTATTTGTCACTTTATTAATGTAATTTCATACCGACTTAAGTTAGTAGGACATTTTTCTCAGTATTTCATGATAAACTGTATAAATGATTATGCCTCTGGAAAAGGAATACAGGATAAGAGAGAATGAAATAGCTGCCGCGTTAGTATTTATTACTCGACTTTAAATCACTGACACTATTTAGCGTAACAAATATCAGGAGCAGCATGAAAGCACACCAGAGTCCTGAGAAGTGCCTCCTGGAGAGTTCAAGAAGAAGTTTGGCAAACACTCTGTTTTGTGGACGGTGAAGTTGGAGCGTGAAAAGTTGGCACTGAGAAGTCTTTTTCATTATCCCCTGCTGATTTTGTTATTCCAATTGACACCCTCGTAATGAACACTGGATTGCAAGAGGTCGCGAAAATAAAGCATTAATTGTAACAAAAAGTCTGAATGAGACACTAAAATACCTCAGAAAATCCTTCTTTTCACCAGGAATGATGAAACTGACCAGATCCAAAGCTTACTTCATGGTGTGTGTGTGTGTGTGTGTGTGTGTGTGTGTGTGTGTGTGTGTGTGTGTGTGTGTGTGTGTGTAGTTGGGATTTCAACCCGTAGCCACCAGATTGGCCATCAGGAAATCAGCCTTGACGCTGTGTTTTCCTCTCATATTCTGTTTTTCACCAAAGATCTCAAAGTCTTACTACACAGAGTAGGGGTTTGAAATGAATACCATGTGTTTGAATTTGAGCAAAGTGTCTCTCTGTGAGAGATTTAGAATAACAAAATCTGTAGTTGCTATTAGTCTCGAGAAGCCCCCTTGAAGTGCAGCATGTCTCTGTGAGTGTGTGTGTGTGTGTGTGTGTGTGTGTGGGGGGGCCCTAATGAATTTGAGAGAAGCCTTGGCTGGCGTTTGGAGCCTCTCCCGGGCTGCAGACACCTCACTGTGTCGCCCCCGCCAGGTATGGAGGGAGGGAGGGACAGGGGCAGTAGCATAGTACTCCTAGAAAAACACCAGTGGGAAGTCTGTGCCACTCTAGGAGCGCTGCGAACAGAATGTGGGTTACAACAGGTCAGACATTGGAAGTCAAGTCTGGGCCAGAGGAGGTAAACTATTCCATCTGTGTCTGTGTCTACAAATTCTGACTCTCCCTCCTCCTCCTGCTCTTGGTCGCCCCTCACACACATACACACACTGAGAGTCCACACTCTCAATGCAAAGAGTTTCTCTTTCACTATCCCTCCTGTACTCCTTAATTTTGCACAGGATATATTTTACTTTTTAATTAAAAGCTGCTGTGCACATTTTTTTGTATGTATAGTACACTATGTTTAGATAGATAGATGAATAGATCTTGGGAAAAAATATTTAATAATTGAATGACCTACAATATACAATCTCACAAAGCTACAGAAACATATATTGTCATTTGATTATATGCACATATGTTTCTGTCGCTTCAATAGTTTGATATATTAGAGAGTATTCTACTTTATTCTGTATATTTTATATTGTGTACATACTCTTCTGAATATGTATTTTCTACTGAGCATACATAGTTTTTTAGTTTTTTATTCTATTTCTAAGACATTTTGTTATTCTTCTACATTGACTGTCAAAATGCTGCTGTAATAAACAATTTTCCATCTTGGGAAGAATCAAGTATCTATCTAATTCCCACCCCCTACTTGAGCGGAATGTTTTTTAGGGAAGCTTCTGTAGCATTCTGGCAGCGCAGAGTGCTTTTGATAAGCCTGTGTTTCCACCTCTGGTCTCGGAGCTGTGTGACTCGGCTGTCATCACTGAGACTGCTAGACAAATTATCAGAGGCGGCCCGCGCTCACAGCGGGAGTCCTAAGGGTCTGCCAGAGTCTAGCCATGACATCCTAGATGAGCTGTCACAACTTCTACCGATTTCAAATTAACACTGGGGAGAGCGCACGCACACACGCACGCGCACACACACACACACACACACACACACACACACACACACACACACACACACACACACACACACACACACACAGCAACACACACACACACACACCAACACACAACAGCCAAACCACCAACACACACACACACACACCACACACACACACGCAATGTAAGCGCCTCAGCCAGGGAACAGAGCAGACTCATACCACATGCCAAAAACAGACAAAAAACATTCTAAAATACACAGTTAACTGTATTTAATTCGTCGGTTTGAACTACACTTTAGAGTACATACTGCCAGACATATACAGCACAAGGTCATGTAAATATTTGTATTCTAGCAGATAATAAAGACATGTTGATCATCAGCTTAAAAGAGGAGGTTCAAAGATTCTGACACATGGCGGGATGATTGGAGCCTTACTGTGTCATTTTTAACAGCAGTCAGTGAATGTACTGGTGGCTTAGAAATCAAAGACCCTCCCCTTCCCTTATTATCTCTGGCACCTCTTCTGTCTAGATAAAATGCCCTGAAAATGTTTAAAAAGCATTCCAACATCTCTTTATTTAACACCTGAACCGTAAGTATTCAAACACAACTAAGGGTTGGGTGCTAGGAAAGATTGATATGTTCGAATAGCTGTCCGGGTAGAAAAGCCGGCTATCTTAGAGATGGTGCATCTAATCACCAGATGTAAATTGATGTCAAAGGCAGATTGACACTTTTGATAAAATTGCAGGTATCGTGCTGCATTCATGTTGTCTCTGAGTAATCAGAACATTTAGTTCCCGGATTGGAAAATGTTCACGAACGTCCTCTCAAGTCCAAACCAGAACTTTGTAACAGCTGTCAACAATTTGTTTCAACTCTGTTAGCAAAAAAATATAAAACATCATCTTTTTAGTGTCCTTGTCATTTCCATATTGCGAATTGAAGCTCATGAACACACCAAAGTCAAAAGAACGATGTCTTTACTCGTTGATATTAGCAAATGCGCTCTCCGATTAGCATTTCTAGTTTTGCAAGTATTTGGTTATAAACCAAAGTATTGGAGACAAATACAAAAAAAATGTTCATAAAAATAGTGCTAAATGAAAGTCCAAGCCATCTGTCCAGTTGTAGTTGAGATATTTCAGCCTGTTTAAAAAAGTGGATGAATGACACTGATTCAGGGGTATATCTGACACAGGATTTTCCACTCATGAATGAAGGCGGATGTAGCTGCGTGGCTAAAAATGGGTCCTTACAATCGATTAGTCAGTCCTGCTTTGTTGTTTAGATTTACAGATAGCATTCATACAGCAGCTGAAGAAATCATGTCAGTGGGAGAACATGTGTTTTATCTGAGAAGTGCCTGACACTGATATCTCCTGAGAGGAATGTCCTGATTCTTTAATCTGTCTTTGAAGGGAAGAGAAACTAGCCAGGGAAATGAAAGACACATGAGCGTCTTTTCTCCGGGGACCAGGGATTTCTTTCTGGATTTCTGAACTGCTAAGATGTCTCAAAAGTTTGAGCCCTCTTACTGTATCTCTCACTGTGTACAGAGAAGCTATTCAGATACCTGCTTAAAGCTCCTCTGTCAAAGAAAGTGGTCTTTAAGAGGTTTTCGCTTTAACTTGAATACCAGAGTATATCTATGGTTGTATATATCCGAGCCAGACTCCAATCATGCTTTAACATTTTGCCAGGCATCTCCTGGGTTTTTCAATCCTAACAAGGCTTTAAAGCTGTGTTCAAAACACCTTGTGTGACCTTTGATAAACATTACTGTATATTAGCTTCCCACAGACAGCAATACAGAATATCTTTTGAAATATATTTGGGTTTAGACTAAATGCAATACAGCCAAACACTTGGAGAAGGTTGTTTACCGTACATCACTTTGATACAATTTGATGTCACTATGTTGCGGACTGGAACAAAGGAGTCAAATCGAGGCGTTTCAGGCATGGGGGAGGGTGTGGGAGAGAAATTTGGGGATTTTAGCCTTTGCAGACCATTTACATGCTCTAAAACCTATATTACACACAACAGGAAACCCCCAAAAGCATAATAAGGCCCGTTTAAGTTAATGATATTATATTATATTATATTCGGATAATCATATCCAGGATTAATCGCCTTAAACAAATAACAGCAATTTCAACTGTATCCCTTTTTTTTGATAATATTATATTCCAACTGGCTCGAAGCTTGAAGAGATAGTAAAAGTTCTAAAGAGCAGTGATTTAGGGGATCCTCTGCTGCCGTTCTTTAAACTCTTTCCACCTCTTTTCATCTGATTTAGGATGGGCCACGTTCTGCAGTTTGATGAGCAAAGCAGAAAAGTCAAAGATGCCACGATGCAAGACGAGGACACTTTCGAGATCCACGACCCACGAAACCCGGTCAACAAGCGAAGGCGAGAGGAGAGCAAGAAGATCATGAAGGAGAAGAAGGCCAAGTGGTGAGGTCGAGAGTCAGGTCCTGCCCAGGACGACGAAAAAGTGTTCATACAGCATCCTCTCGTCCACATACCACTTCAAACCCTACATCTCCTGACTGGAACATCTGGATTGAGAATGCTGACCTGAGTGCATACGATCCCTCTAATCTGTGATGGAAAGGCTACTTCGCTTAATACAGCTGCACCCGGACTGCACTCAGTAAGAAATAAGAGTCTAGTCAAAGTAATGATTAAGGTGACTTGATTTACGTGTGGTGTTGTTAGCTTGTTCATGCCATTTTTCTGCAGTTTATGTTGTCTAGAGCTTTAATGTAAGAAGTAACCTTTTCTGAAAAAATAAATAAATATCATTTGTAAACAGTCTGTGATTATTTGACTTCTTTGATTTTAAATAAATGTACCAGTGAGAAGCCACTTTATTAGATTTCCAAAACCAATAATGTTCAGATTTCGGTGACATTGCCTCAAATGCATAAGTCAATTATATGTTTCTTATTCAGGTCAAAGTGGTGTTTTATTGGACCACATAATTATAGGTCTTCCCCCTTTTTTTGGAGTAGAATATTAGAAATACCTCTTAATATAATGCAGTCCCGTATAACATTACCACAATCTGTGTCCTCAATGCTAAAACATATCAGTTAATTCATGAATTGAGGGGGGAAAAAATGTATTTAATCGTTTATTTGGCAGGAATAATGCACATGAATGAACACTTAAAACATTAAAATGTGTCAAGCGTAACAGTGCCAGATTTAGATTTGAGCTCATTTCCATCCGCAGTCCCTCACATAAAATATTTAAGAAGATTACATTTTACAAACATAGCAAAAACAAAATACATGCAAAAAGAGCAAAAGCAGCATACACAAGTATTTATGACATGGTAATACAATATAGCAGCAACGACATATAAAGTGCAAGAGAAGATACAAGAGATACCTAAAGTGCAAGAGGAGATACCCCTGTATTAAAGTGCATTTAGCGGTGATTGCACGTCTGTTTGTTTCTCAACCGTTCTTTGAGTTGACCTTTGAAGCTATTAAGTGGGACAATCCCGTATCTCAGTTGGGAGGCTATTCCACAATGAGCTGCCTTTAATGGAGAGGAAATTTTGTCCAAAAGTGGTCCGTCTGCGGTGGACTTCACAGTCTCCTCTGGTTTCTGACCTAGTGCAGCGTCCAGTGTGTTTTCTGTGGTTGAATTCCCCTAAGGGGGGGGGGGGGCAGTCCATGTAAACAGTTATAAATAAAGCACATACTCTTAAAAGACTTAAAATTGTTAAAGCTCAAGAAATTGTGTTTTTCAAGGATGGTACAGTGGTGGTATGAATGTGGCTTTCTGTCAAAAACCTTGATAGCTCTCTTGTACAGCTGTTCTATGGGTTTCAGGTNTGAGGTGGGCTGATGATTGGAAGGTTGTGTGTTCAAATCCCGCCTGGAACGCCACCAATACTGTGCCCCTTGAGCAAGGCACTTAGCCCTCGGTTACTCCAGGGAGAATGTCCCTGTAATCGGTCATTGTAAGTCACTTTGGAATAAGGCATATGCTAAATGCCTAAATTGTAAATGATATTTTTGGGAGAATAAACCGCACAGATCCTCAACTCCGGTGTGTTTCACTCATTAACAACGCAACACAGAGCAACAAGAACGTTGTGGGGGGGGTGCGGTGCGGTGTCCCCACAAATAAAATAAAATTCTGTGGGAAACACTGATTTGTATTTTCTTTTTATTATGTAACTGTGTATTTTTTTATTATATTTGTTATTATATCATAACTTAGTGTTTTTTTTAATGCATGTCACATATTTAACATTATGTAACATTAAGCCGTCTGTGGCTCTTTTTCCTGCTGTAACGACGCAAATGTCCCCTCCGTGGGACTAATGAAGGGATTCTGATGTGGAGGGTCATGACTTACCGTCCTGCGAGAGTCTGGCTTCACTGCCTGCAGCTGCTCAAACTCTTCTATCTTGCTCTGTTCCACGTCGTCCTTCAGCTCCCAGGTGCTGTCTTCATAAGCCAGAGAGCTCCACTTCACCAGGTAGTACACCACCTCCTGCAGCAGGCAGAGAGGAGTCAGCGCTGCAAAAGACTAGAGCGAGGCCACGCTCTGCTTTGATGATATTAACAAAGGCTGCGAGGGAGCCCAATAGCATGGCCTTGGGCCTGACTGAGACTGTACAAAGAGATGGCTAGAGTGGAGCGTTTACTGAAAGGAACAAGAAAGCTGGAAAAGGGTAAAAGCCACGTAGATACACATAAACACTAAAGTGCTACTCGTGGATATGATTCACCATTAAGAAAAAGGCTCCACTGTACCTCTCCTGTGTCTTTGTCCTCACAATACGACACATCCAGCACTCTGTCTACCTCGATATAGTCCGGGTTAAAGGGGTCCTCTTCCCTCTGAAGACGCAGAGAGAAAGAACAAGAGAGAATCAATGGAAATGCCCACTCACCATCTGGTCGCTGAGATAAGTATCACTGCTGTATCAACCGAGCAGGCAAATTGATTGTGATGTATGCACACAGATGTGCCCGCCCACACAGAGCCAAAGTGAATCAAACATCCGCACGCACAGAACATTCATACACACTAAACACACACATTTCCTCTGACAACCAATTGTGGAAACACACGTGCTCATAACATTGTGACTGCGCTCATAAAGAAATGTGTACACAGAAACATATCCTTACGTCTGCGAAGAACAGTGCCCTCTGTGCTTGCTTCAGCTTGAAACGTTTGATCTTCTGCGGAATCCTCTTGTCCTTCTCCAGCTGCTGCTCTGTGGCCCACTCACAGTGTAGGTAGGAGCTGAGACACACACACATTATATTATTACATGTTAGACACTTATCCAAAGCGATTTACATACTCAATACAATCCCCACAGGAGCAACTTGGACACACCCACACACACACACACACACACACACACACACACACACACACACACACACACACACACACACACACACACACACACACACACACACACACACACACACACACACACACACACAGTGTTTGCTCCTCTATCAAACATTTGGTTTCATCAAATTTATTTTATTTATAGTGTGACATTGTTCAATCCTTTTCAGGATTAGGCTGAAAACATAATGAAAGCAATCTGGCTGACGAGAGATTATCTTTCAAATAGAAACAAATGATTTCTCTGTAAGGGCTGTCGAAGTTAACCTACGGTTCACTATAATCTTGAATACGTTTATGGCTAGGCATTTCATTGATTTTCAAAAATGTACATGGCGATACCGAAAGCCATCCCAAGGAAGCGTGCTTGTTCTCATATGCCATCACAAAGTTCTAGTTCAGCATGGTTTGCAAAGCCCTCAGATATCAGCTTCATGTATTATCTAAATGTAGTTTAAGAGTTTCTGTTATAAGTGCGACATGCTATATATAAACAGATCACACACACTTGCTTAAAGTGGGATAATTACATATACAGAATGAATTACACAATATTATTTTGAATCTGTCTGCTGTGTAATTAATAAACTGTTAAGTAAAGCTTACTGTGAGTGAACTTACTAGTTTTTGTATTTTACAAAATACTCCTCGTCTTCGACCACCACTCCTGGAGAAACCTGGAAGAGATTATAATGAACATCTTAGAATTACAAATGAAATATTTTACTTGGCTAATAGCTGTTTTATTACGCTATTTTGAAAAATAAAGGTATGTCATTAAGGACCAAAGTAGTACCAGGGTTGATACACTTTTTCACCGATGATTTTCAATGACTTCTCCATGACCAAAACAATTACTCTTTCTCAGCGGTACCACTGAAAATGGGTTATTTTAACATGGAACAGAAAAATAAGCAAAATACCTCGTCAGTTAAATGCCATTTTACGTTTCATTACAATACAGTATGTATTATCATTATAGTATTACTATTTCGGCGATTAGATCAAATATAAATTATATTTGATGCAACTTTAGTTACATTTCCATGACTTTTCCAAAACCTTTGGAGAAATATTGTTTTCCATAACTTTTCCAGGGCCTGGAATTTCCATGACTTTTCCAGGTTTTTAATGACCGTAAGAACCCTGTAGTACACACGTTAAAAATGCTACGTAAAATAAGTTAATAAGTAATATTTCAGGTAAACATCTTGCGAAATAGCACAACTGTGAGAGAGATGTACCGTAACAATTAGTAAAAGCAGGAAAAGAAACTGCAGCCTATCATACCTCCTTCTTCACGATACGAGAAGACATGATTTTGTCAACAACTGCAGCGTCCTCTTCACTGGGGTTCTCCTAAAAATGCAGCAAACAGAAAATTGCAAGTATGACTTTATATTCTTCCACGGCACACATTTACATAATCCTCAGGACACATCTTAATAAAACTGACTTAAGGGGAATCAGCTTACTACTTAAAGGTAGGGTAGCTAAGAATGGAGAAACCAGCTCGAGTGCGCTAGAATTTGAAAGTATGCAGCCGAAAGTACTCTGCCTCTTCCTTCAGA